GCTTGCCTCGGTGCCCGGCAACCCGGCCGCGGTGGGGCAGCACTTCAACCTCTGCTCAGACCGCTGCATCACCTTTGACGGTGGGTGTGGGGGGGTGAGGGTGCGGGTGGGTGCAGGTGGGGGGGTCGCTTGCCAGGGTTTGGGGGCAGGCGCGCTTCAACCGCTTCAACCCCCATCCGCTTCCACAACCCCTACCCGCGCACCACTTTCACGCCCCCCTCACCCCTCCCTTCCGCGCGCGCACGCACACACACACACATACACACACGTCCCGTCCACCCGCAGGCATCGTCAAGGCCATCGCCGCCGCTGCGAGCAAGGAGGCCAAGATTGTGCACTACAACCCCGCTGAGATGGGGCTGGGCAAGGGAGAGGGCTTCCCCTTCCGGTGCGGCGCGCGGCCTGCAGCAAGCCCGGGGGAAGCCCAACCACCCAGATGCTGCAGCCCCCACATGCTCCAGCCTGCCGCGCTGGCTGCTGCTGCCCGCCGTGGCTGCGCTGCGCATCTCGGCGCGCGCCGCGGTGCACCCCCTGCGCCTCCCCACCTGCACAGCCATGCCTCCCGTGCCCGCCCGCCTCCCCCGCAGCGCGGTGCACTTCTTCGCCTCATCCGACAAGGCCAAGCGCGTGCTGGGCTGGCAGCCGCAGCACAACTTCCTGAAGGATGTGGATCAGGTGGGGCTCATTTGGGCCGTGCTGCGCTGGGAGGACGTGCCCTGCCGTGCTGTGCTGTTGTCCTGTGCTGCGCTGTGCTGTGGCGGCGCAGCGCTATGCTGTGCTGTGCTGTGCCGGTGATGTGCTGTGTTGTGCCTCTGCACTCGCCGCCGCCGGGCCCCTAAATTGCATGCCCCCTGGCGCTGCCGCCAGCTCGCCTTGCCGCCACTCAGCTGCTCGGTTGCTCGTCCTGCCTGCCCACCTGCTCCTCCCACCCACCCACGCTTTCCACCCGCAGCTGGTCAAGGACTTCCAAGCCTCGGGGCGCCTGGACAAGCAGCCCGACTTTTCTGTGGATGACAAGGTGGGGCGGATAGCGACAGAGTGTGTGCTGGTGGTGGTGGTGGTGGTGTGTGGGTGCGTGGTGATGAGTGGGTGGTGGTGGGCAGAGGAGTTGTTCGCTTTGAGGTGGCGCTGCGCGGTGGCGCTGCGCCTGCTTGGGGCTGCTGTGGGCACGCCTTCCCTGCCTGCCTCACGCCTGCGCTGCCCTGCCGCCTGTGCAGATCCTGGCTGCGGTGGGCTACAAGGCAGAGGCGCTGGTGTGAGGCTGCCGCCGCTCACCGACCGCCGTCTGCTTTGGAACATGCGGTTTCGACACGGGACGTGTGCCACGTCTGCCAGCTCAGCGCATGCAGCTGCTGGCGCGCAAATCCACCCGCCAAACAGGCATTGTTTTGATTAATCGGTTTAATTTCACACTTGGCACCGTGTCCCAAACCATTCTTTCGGCACGCTTGGATTTTTTGGCAGCGAGCTGGCAACCGCGCTGATCAACATTCAACATGTAGAAACTGATATTCTATGTGCAAGCAAGACCCCAGGCCCCAGCGCAGGCCTAACCATACATGGCAGGTGCACAAGATCTAGATATAGATGAACGGCATGCTCGCTAGCCGCTAGATGGATCGCCTTGTTGCAGCATGCTGGCTGCTGCTGGGCATGCTGCCCACGCTTCGTTCACACGCCTACTGGAACCTTCAGCCCCGGCACGTAGCCTGCAGCAGCATGGCAGCATGAAAGCACCAGGGTATCTGGCCCTCTGCTGAGGCACTCTGCGGTACACAGTACTGTACACCGCTCCACACCAAGGCCCACCTGCCACCCCTGCCAGCACTCCGTTGTCAATCACCAGGGTGTGCCCCTGCACACCAGTCACGCACAAGTGCTTCAGGGCAGCGCAGGCAGCGAAGCATCGAGTACCTGTCACAGGTACCGGCACGGTGCCGGTACCATCGGAACAGCGGCACCAGCGAGCGCTGCTGATCAGCGTACGGCACGCTCTTCGTCTCCTGCCCCTTCCCCTCCCTCCTCTCACGTTCACGCATCGCCCCAGGTCGCTGGCGAGGTACAGCCTGCCGTGGGCGATGTCCTCGGGCAGCAGCGCCACCCCTGGCATCACCGACGCCTTGGCCACCTCCGCCACAAACTCTGCGGGCGGCCGCCGCTGCTCCCATCAGCACACCAGGTGCCGCCAGCGGTGGCTGCACCTGCCCCCAAGCACGTTCCTAGTAGTACCAGATAGTACCGCCCCTGGCAGCCCGGGCCCCCACCTTCCTTGGAGGCGCCCTCCAGGCCCATCACCTTGGCCAGCATGGGGGTGGCGGTGTAGCCTGCAGGCTGGGCAGACCACCTTCAATGTTGGCAGAGCTGCCATTGTATTCGGCGGTCTTCGGCTGCTGGCAGCGGTGAATGGCCCAGCACCTGCAGCCGCCCCCCCAGCAGGGCAGGCCATGCAACCAACCGCTTGGCAGCTACGGCCGCTGACTCTACCTGGCGCCACGGCGTTCACACGGATGCGGTACGGCGCCAGCTCGCACGCCGCCAGCTTGGTGAGCGCCACCACGCCGTGCTTGCTGGCCGTGTAGCCTGCATGGAACAGTGGGAGGGTGACCACCACCAGCAGCAAGAGGAGGAGGAGGAGCAGCAGCAGGGCATAGCTGCTGCGCCCCCCAGCAGCGCGGGTGAGGCAGGCCACCCGCCTGCTGCCACGAAGGCCGGGTCGCCGTGGGTCGCGCAGTTGACCTCCAGGCCGGCGATGGAGGTGGTGTTGATGATGCAGCCGCCGCCGCCGCCACGCGCCTTCATGGCGCGGGCCGCGTGCTTGGTGCCCAGCACCACGCCCCGCAGGTTGACCTGCGCTGGCAGTGCAGTGCGCTTGCTGCACCGCTGTGACGGCGACCGAGGGAGCGATCCCAACGCGCCGGCGGCAGCGACGCGAGCGCCACCGCAGCTGCCCCTGCCGGCAGTGCGCCGTAGCAGCTGCCGCCACCTCACCTGGACCTGCTTGTCGAACTCCGCAGCGTCCAGGCTCTCCATCAGCGCTTCGGAAGAGTACAGGCCGGTGCGGCCGTAGTATCCTGCATGCAGCAGGTCTCCGGCCGCAGCCGCTGCGGGTAATCCCGCTGCACAGCAGCTGCAGGTCGATATGCAGCTCTGCACGATGCACCCAACAGGTGACAGGTGTAGGGTGCACCCTTGTCCCCGGTCAGTCAGTGCCAGTGGGTGTGGTGGGTGCCGCCTGTGGAGGCACAAGGTGGGCGCCCCGCTTCCCTTTTCCAGTGGACAGCCGCAGCTCACCCGCGTTGGAGCACCAGACGTCCAGGCCGCCAAAGGTGTCCAGGGCGGTGGCGGCGAGGCGCTGGATGTCTTCCTCGGCGGCCACGTCGGCGTCCTGGGCCACAGCCCGGTCGCCGCCCAGCTCCCCGGCCAGCTGGCTCACCTTGTCGCCTTGGATGTCTGCCAGGGAGAGAGCCAGAGGCAGTTGGCGCACGGGGGTGGGCTTGGACAGGCAGCTGGCGCAGGAGGCAGGGGCATGGCCCGCAGGAGGCGAGGAGACACCCGCTCCTGCCGGCGGCATGCCGGCCTCACAGCTGGCCAGGCAGGCTCACCTCCCAGCACCACGCGAGCGCCTTCCTTCACAAACAGCCTGGCAGCCGCCTCGCCGATGCCTGCAGAGCAGGCGAGCAAGGGAGGCGGGATGGCGGGGCGGCCTTGTCAGCGCTCTCTGCCCACAAGGGCAGCCGCCACTAGCGGCTGCTGCCAGCATCACCCGAGGCGGCGCCAGTGATGACGGCAACCTTGTTCTGCAGCATTATGTGTGGGTGCAGGCAAGCCACTGGCAAGAGCTAGACTGGAGCTTGTGTGTGCGTCGGGGGAGGCTGCGAAAGTGAGAATGCTTCCAAGGCAAAGATGCCAGAGCGCAGGCCAGCGGGCGCCAGCTTGGCGGTGGTACTGGATCGCTGCAATCTGCAGTTCACAGGTTGGATGAATTGCTGCACATCTCGGCATGACTGACCGTCTGCCTCCACTTCCCCAGCCATTGCAACCCAGCCTTGACTCAACTGTTACTCGGAGCAGCATGCGAAGGCGGGCTTGGCGGCGGCGGCGGCGGAGCCAAGTGTGGAAGACCATTCCAGCGCTATGGCACAGAGCAGGTGTAAGATGGTTGTACTTGCTAGTTCACTCACGCCTATGCCAGCGAATGAATGACATGCCTTCCCACCAGGCCACGCATTGCACCGCCGACTAGCACGGCGAAGCGGCGCCGGCGAAGCGGCGGGCGCCGTCTCACCAAGCGGACGGGGCTGCGAGCTGGCGGCGGTCCGCAACGTTTCCAACGCCGTGTCCAAGCAGCTCTATTGTAACCATTGCTGCATTTGAGCACCAAGTGGTCCGACTGCAGCAGCTGTTTCGCTGGCAGTGGTATTGCAGGGCACCTGCACTTGCAGCTGGCTCGGCAGCTGGCTTCAGGACACATCCCCTCGGGTACTTTCACTCTCAAGGGCTCCCCCGACATGCTGCACCTTCAGCTCACTGCCAGGATGACCGGGCGCAGCCGAGGCCCCGCCTTGTGGGCAGAGCTGCTCCTGCCCGTGTTCCTGCTGTCCTGCGGAGCTCTGGCCCAGCTGCAGCCGGCCGAGGTACATCGAGACATGCCAGGGGGACGCAGCGGAAGGCGCCTGCTGGCCGACGTGAGGCTCACATACCCCTCCACCCCCCCGCGCCTCTCTTGCGCAAGGCTGCGCGCTCCCTTGCTCTCTTCCTCGCTTGCTGATCGCAGCTCCCTGTCCGTTTCTTTGATGCCAGCCGCCCCCGCCCAAGCCCCCGCCCACCCCTCCCCCACTCCCGCCGCCACCGCCAGCTCCCTGCGGCACCATCCGCGAGGTGGGTGGCCCGCTGGACAGGCAGCCTCTGCCGCCGCTGCTGTCCATCACCCCCCGGAGGAGCAAGCGAATGCTGCTGCGGCCTCCGAGTGGGCAGCCGCACGCCCCACGCCTGCCCGCCCTGCAGCTGCCGCTCGGCGCCAAGATATTGGGAGGCGCGATCGACAGCCTGGTGGTCAGCCAGGGCCTCGTGCGGGCGTACCAGGTGGTGAACAAGGTGGAGGTGCAGAAGGGCACCTTCTCCTACACCCAGGGCACCTCCACATACACCAAGAGCGAGTCGATGGGCAGCTACGTCGCCGAGCGCTCCAACGCCACCTACCAGGCACGCAGGCACAGCTTGCCCTTCACGCCGCCGCCGTCGCCGCCGCCACTTGCAGCCGCCTCCCTGCCGGAGCAGCGGGCGGGGGCGCACGCATGGGTCTTCTGCTGCCACCCCAAGCCCGCTGCCACCCCCAGCCCGGGCCTGGTGCGCCTGCCTGCAGGTCTACGTCGGCGGCATCACTCCCGACTGCCCGGACAGGCCCTTTGAGGCGCATGTGCTCTACGCCTGCAACGCCTCTGGTGCCGGCGGCGACCGCTTCGAGCCGGGCGTGCACCAGCCCATCAATTTCGACAACCTGCAGCCGCCCTGGCTGGCGGTCGACTTTCTCGCCTGCATCAGGACATTCACCGTCGCCTCCAGCCGCGTGTGGTGAGCCGAGCGGCGGGCCACCCGCGGCAGCCGTGGCAGTGTACATCGTGCCAAGCACACATGCACGGAGCAGGCGGGCAGGCTTGTGCACTCGGGTTGGCGCTGCCTCCCCCCTGCTCACTGGCACGCTCACACGCACACACACTCGCACTCCACGCACGCGCCTGCTGCACCCCGCCGCAGCTCGACCAACTGGGCGTGCTCCCCGCCGCCGCCACTTCCTCCCTCCCCGCCGCCGCTCCCACCCGCACCACCCTCCCCTCGTCCGCCGCCACGGCCGTGAGTAAATGCAGCGCACTGCAATGTACTGCTCTCGCGGCATGCCGCCCTCACTGCAACACACGCGACAATAGCCGGATCGAGCTGCGGCTTCTGTCACTTGTGTTGCAGGCCGTCGCCCCCGCCATCCCCGCCATCCCCCCCCAACCCCCCAAGCCCACCCTCGCCCAGCCCCCCCCCACCCAGCCCCCCACCTCCTGCCGCCTGCGGGACGATACGAGAGGTGGGCGCATGTGCACTTGACGTGTACCATCAGGATTGTTGACCATTGGTCATGTGGTTGTCGTGCCATGTGCCTGCGCAGGGTGCTGACCCGCCCCCCACCGTGCCTGCCCCCGCAGCTGCCGCCCGGCGCCGCTTTCCAGGGCGCCTTTGGCACCATCG